CCTTCCCTTCCCTTCCCTTCCCCCAACAGACCATCAGAAGTAGATCTGAATTGCTCATAGAAATGAAGAATGAAAATAAAACACAAACGCAAAAAAATATAAATGGAACTCCCATTTGACCCAGTAATCCCACTTCTAGGAATATATCCCAAGAAATCAGAAACACCAATCAGAAAGAATATATGCACCCCTATGTTCATAGCAGCACAATTTACAAATAGCTAAGATCTGGAAACAGCCTAAGTGGCCATCAGCAGATGAGTGGATTGAAAACTGTGGTACTTCCACAAAATGGAATACTAGGCTGCTGTGAAAAAGAAAGAACTCTTACCATTTGTAACAGCATTGATGGACCTGGAGAGGATTATGCTAAGCGAAATAAGCCAGTCAGAGAAAGATAAATATTACATGATCTCATTCATTTGTGGAATATAATGAACAACATAAACTGATGAACAAAAACAGATCCAAAGACACAGAAACATCGAACACACCATCAAACCTCAGAGGGAAGGTGGGAGTGGGTTGGTGGGGGCGTTAAGAGATCAACCAAAGGAGTTGTATGCATGCATAAAAGCATAACCAATGGACACAGACAGTAGAGGGATGAGGGCCTGTGCTGGGGTGTGGAAGTGGGCAGGGAGAGGTCAATGGGGGAAAAAGGAGACATATATAATACTTTCAACAATAAAGAATTTTTTAAGAAAACAGAATGGGGAAAAGGAGAACCACCCTGTTTGGGGAGGGGGATGGGTTTTAAGATATTAAAGGTACAGAAAATAAATAAATGATAAGATGAAAAGCTCAGAAGAGTCTCAGAAATACCTACCAAATAGTGTTAGTCCAGTTATCCCATTACTCACTAATAATGTTCATCAATAAATGATCACAAAAGAATGTCCGCTTGAAACTAGGTATTTCCTACTAGTATATAATAGCATTCTTTAGCTAAGATGCCACTTACCCTATTTAATAAAAAGCTAATATGCAAATAGACCAAATGGCAGAATGACCAGTTGCTATGACGCGCACTGACCACCAGGGGGCAGACACTCAGCCAGAAGCCAGGCTCACAGCTGGCTAGAGCAGTGATGGTGGCGGTAGCCTCTCCCGCCTCCACAGCAGCCTAAGCCATCATTCAGACATACCCCAAGGGCTCCCGGACTGAGAGAGGGCGCAGGCCAGGCTGAGGAACTCCCCCCCGCCAGTGTACAAATTTCATGCACCAGGCCTCTAGTTATAAAATAATATCACTGGTTATGTGTTCTGAGTTCATAAAATGTCATATTCTTTACTACCTTAACTTGAAGGTAGACTGGAATGCTGTGAAAGTAGGACAGGAGACTAGATATTAATCAAAATTGACTTTACCAGTGACAGAAAAGATATGACAGTCTCCATGATACCCCACTTATACTCGAAAGAGTATTATCTCAAAAAGAGAACAAACATCTAATTTCCCAAAATGTATATGACACATTCTCTCATATTATCTCCTTCTTATAGCACTTTCACCCATGTATACATGATTATGGATAAAAAAAATGGGAGGATGATAATTTTCCTAACTAAACTCAATATGGTTCTTTATCAGACGATTAAAGAAAAATAATCGTAAAACCTGAATGTTTACACAGAAACAAAAAAAGCACTGAAGGTACAGAAGGCAACACTCTGAACAATGTATATAAGTACCTATAAATTCCCTTTCTTCATACAAAAAAAATATGTGCAGGACAAAGGCAAAACAATGCATACAGATAAGGTTGAATAGTCTCCATTTATGGTTCACAAAATACCTCCCACATATATTTCTCATTTAATCTCACATAATGCTGTGAGGAATACAGACATATATTGTCCCATTTTTTAAAAAACTGGCCTGTCTACGATATCATAATAGTAGAGGCAGGACAGAGTCAGGTTTTCTGGTCTCTTTGTACTCTTTTCCACTATACCTAAAGATATCACGGGGCGTTTAGATAAGAAAATAAATTGACATTTTGAGTGAGTATATGTTCAGACTCACCAGTCATACTGCGTGCATTAGGCAGTTTACTTGTATCTTCTCATTTAATTCTCACGACCATCCCTTTGCACTTCATTGTCTTCATTTGGCAAGTGAAGCTATTCTAGCGGAGATGTTAGTTAAGGTGTCTAAATTCACACAACTAGAAAGTGGTAGAGCCCAGAATGCTTCAAATTTCATATACTCTATGGCAGAGATTCCCACTTGCTTCCATTTTCTAATTTCCTTAGTAATAAGATATCTGATATGAAGCTGAGTACAAGGCCATTAACTAAAGACTGTATTCCGTAGGCTTTCCTGAAAGTAGATGTGGTCAGATTAGCTACATCTTCACCTATGTATACATGATTATGATTAAACAAAAAGGAGAGCTAAGAGAAAAATACTGCACTTAAGCTTCCAGAAAGCCTACTTAAGAGGAGTGCTCTTCCTTGGTCCTTGCTCCATCCTGCTACCCGGAATGTGGATGTTATGGCTACAAACCTAACAATCATCTGGACCATGAGGACAGGAGTCAACCTTGGAAAAGCACAACATCTTAGAAGAGCTTGAATCCCTAACAACTGTGTATGTCATGGCCTTGGACTGACTGACTACTTACTCTTTTGCATGAAAAATAAACTGCTATCCCTATTTATGTCATTGATATTTGGGGATTCTTTATTATAGGCCACTAAACCTTACCTTAACAAATATACTCTACC